TCTACCTATTGAAATGAGTTGGCTTTTGAAGCAGCTTAGTCCCACCCTGAGGTGGAGGCTAAATACTGAGTTCAATACAGTAAAAGGCTGACGAGGAAACCCCCGTCCTGTCAATCTCAGAACTGAAGGTTAATTTGAACTCTTCAACAAAGTCAGTATAGGTACAATCAAAGTGTTTATAATTCGTGAACCAGGTTTCCGCCCACTTCACTGCCTTCCCAGTAAGTAACCCAACAATAAATGAAATTTTGGCCAGATCATAGGGAAAAGACTGGGGGTCAGGTCTCGGTCCAGGAGCAATAAGGTCCAATACTTAAGGCGCTGCTAGACAGAGGTGGAAACCAGGCGATTGTTCTTGAAACTTGGATCTTGGAACTTGTGTCGAAGGTTTGTACGGGAAGCATGTTTGAAAATCTTAGGAAAAGAAACAGAAGAGAATTCAAAGGTTAGCTCCTTCTTTCGAAAAAGGGTGAGAAAGAACCCAGACTTGAGTTTACTCCCTGGCCAAAACCCCTAAGCTTGAAAAGGCTGTAAACAGCCTCACTAATTACAAAGCTCCTGGATGAGGTTGATGGAAAACATCTATGAACCATTAGCCATCAAGTTAACCAAGGTCCCCGGAGGAGAATTTCTAAAAACCTAATTGTAAAAGACAGTCTCCCAGATCCTGACATTATTTGTGTCATGAAATAATACAATAATAGCTTTTATTTCTGCTAAAAAAAAGATGTTTTGTTTAAAGCAAGAATCAGAAATATGCACTTAAAATATGTGTAAGACTTAAAATGCATTATTTGAAGAAAAAAAAACATATCTACAACTGGCTTCATCAGAAAACTTACTTAGGTGGAATCTTAGTTTAGTTTCTTTTCCTCAATAACATGAAGGAAACATTTTAACTTCCTCTCCCTAGAATGGTTAAACTGACATACCTTATGTCAATATTGTATGACGCAGAACATGACAAGTATTTAATATCTTACTTAAATTTAGCTTTGCTGAATCATTTATCATTTGTTTATTATTTGCAAAGTCAAAATAAATTCAAACAGTCCAAGGATGTTTGAGCCAGTTTGTTTCTATTCAAAGCGCCTCTCTGATGTTCTACAACTACATCTAAACATATTAAAGTGTCTCTGAGTTGAGTTTGAGAACTTTCTAGGACAACATTTCATGAGAAGGATTAAAATCCTCACACATTCAAACAGCTGGAACATGAAGTAAGTGATGGAATAATGAGAAATATTGGAAACCTAATTGAAAATGAATACCTCATAGTGTTTATAGGAACTTTTCTCTGGTTCATTTTTAGGTCAGCTCTTTTATACTCTTGCTTTTCTCTGTTTTGGATTTCTCTCCTGCCTTCTTTGGTGCTTTTAATTTGGTATTTTCAAAGATAAATCTAAAAAATTCTATACACTCACATTTTTAGATCAGAGTAAAACATAAAAAGTGAAGGTTGTATATCCTGAATTAATACACTTTTAATTAAGATTATACATTTATTTTGTTTCTTAATCTTTTTGAATGATATGTGTTTTTATTGGCTCAAAAATGTTTAATCCAGATAGATTTTCAAATGTAATTCTTATTCCCACCTGTGTTGGATCATATCTGTGCAGATTCTCAGTCGTCCAGGTCATGTCAAGCTTGAAAAGCTCAGTCTAGGCAACTGGATGTGAATTTTTCTAGAATAATGTTTCGCCTTCATCTACACCTGAAGGTTGAAGGACACCCGTTTGAGAACAACAACTTCCAAATTCTTGCAAATGAAGACAAATGGTTTGAGCGAGAGTTTAAGGAAGCCATCTTTATTAACCTGGAAAAACCATTTCTCAACAGAGGAGGTGATATTAGACATAACCTGTCAACCACCTACAAAGCACTTTTTGGAACAATACCCGGAACATCTTCTAGAAAGCTTCACTTCCAGTTGCCTAGACTGAACTTGTTCAAGCTTTGTTGGATTTTTTTTTCTGTTCTAATCATAATGTCTTGCCTCTTTTTTTAAATTTCTTCTCTCCTCCTTAAAAATATTATTCATATAATTAATTTCAAACATATTTTCTTCATATCCTCTAGAAGTTAAAAGCAAATTAAAATCCCATAAATTTCTTTCTTCTACTTGTATGTGATTTTCCTCATCAGTTCTACAGAGGCCTTGGAATCCAAACTGAAGGCCTTGCAGTGCCACTTCACCTGGAATCTAGAACCTTTCAAGTACAAACTGAACTATCTCAGGGATGCACTGGAGGACATCGCCACAGATGAGGGAAACATCTGGCTGGGTCACATCTACAACCTGCAGGGGTTCATCCAGTACAAGCTAGGCTCCACTGAAGAGGCCCTGAAGTTCTTCAGACGAGCCACTGAGACCTTCCAGCGCCTTAAAAACTCTGATGAAGGTCCCTGGTTGATGGTGAACTTTGGGAATCTGGCTTGGCTGCACCATCTTATGACTGAAGATGAGAAGAGTCAGGATTACCTGTCAAAGGTTGAAGCTCTGATGCGGGAATACCCAGCTCCAACTGAGGAAGAGCTCCACCCAGAGGTCTGTGCTGAGAAGGCCTGGACCCTGATGAAGTTTGACAAACAGAAGAAGCTGCAGGCTGCAGAGCTCTTCCAGAGAGCTGTGAGGATGCAGCCAGACAACGTTGAATGGGAGACCAGCTGGGCCATATTATCAGCAGATCCATTCAAAGCTTACATGAAGGACATGACTCCTGATGTCTTGGAAAAAGTGAAATCAGCCACAGAACGAGATCCAGACAACTTATATGTTGCTGCTCTTTATCTGGATGCACAGGGTGCAAAGAGAAAACAAATTCAGGATGAAGCAAATGATTTAGCTATAAGAATTCTTGAAAAGCCAATGCACAACTACTGTGGGATCAACCTACTAATGAAGATGTATAGAAAGTACATATCTCTAGACGAAGCCATTGAAATAGCCGACGAGGTCTTGAAGAGACATCCTGATTCACGTTTTGTAAAGAGGTCTGCAGCAAAATGCTACACAAAGAAAATTTTTTCTCAGGAAGGCAATCCTGATCCCAGAATAATTAACAAAACAATCCGTCTGTGGGAAGAAGTGATTTATGCTTACTCTGAATGTTTCCTGAAAGAAAAAATATCTCTAGCTGCCATCTATTCAAAGGTAGACATAGAGAAAGCTGACAAGATTTACAGAGAGCTTCTGGACAGACAAGATCTGGATCCAGCAGAAAAACAGATGCTTTACAAATATTATGCAGACTATTTATACTTCGATAAGAATGATACATGCGGGTCTATTGAATACCACATAATGGCAGTAGAGATTCAAGAAGAACCTGTTTATCGACAGTTTAGTATTGATAAACAGAAGAACATAATAAGATTCAGGGACCCTGAAATGCAGAGAAGGATCAAGGAGCTCCTGACATCCCTGGGAATAAACCAGTGAATAAACCTGAAACTCTCTGAAATCCTAATGATGATCATAGAAAATAATAGTGATGTACATCAAAATAGCTAAGGAAGACAATGAAGTGTCTAATGAAGTAAGTTAATTCAGCTTTGATGCATTTTCCTTGATCTGGTAGAAAGTTATATTACTGTAATATAGACACAGAAAAGGGAAATGATATGTGAAACCTATAATTTTTCTTTTAATAAAATGTTTCTTTAAACTCCAAGACCACTCAGCTCCTCTAGTTCTGTTCACCCAGAACTACTGTAGAACCAAACATAGATAAGCTCCACCTATCTGGAAAAAACTCCCAGAAGACTGTAAAAGTGCTGAAAACCTGAGTTATTTAAGTCAAAGTTAAAAACCCATTTGTTAGAAATGTTTTTGAATGTTGAAGTTAAACTGTTACCTGAGCTATTATTGGTTTAAGTGGTCCAAGTGTTTTATTTGTGTTACTATCTGTTTTTCATCTAATTTATTTTTAATCTGCTTTTATTTTCATTCGATTTTATTGTCCAATTCATGTAAAGCATTTTGAATTGTTCTTGTACTGAATTGTCTAATAATAAACTTGCCTTGCCTTTCCTTGCCTTTAAACACATGCCCTCTACTGAAATATTTGTTCTTTTAGGGAGGAACATTCAAATCCGTATGAAGTGAACAAAGTCAGAAAGAAAGCAGAAGGATTTTGATTCATAGAACTTTTCCTCTCACTCCTAATTTAAAAAAAATTGTTTCATTTATTCAGATTAGGAAATATAGGTACACATGTTGTGTTGTGCGATAGGGTTGTGTTAAAAAAAATGTAATTCTGATTACATTTTATTATTATTTCCTAAAGATCAATTTATATAACCAAAGATCTTCCAGGGTTCTCATCAGCGTTCCTCAGCATAGCATAGTCTCCCATAATCTCCCAGACCTTGACATTATTTTTGTAATGAAATGATACACACATTATAATGTCTTAAGCTTTTATTTCTGCTAAAAAAAAAAAAAGATTTTCTGCTTAAAGCACGAATCAGAAATTTGCACTCATCAAAGAATATGTGAGACTTAAAAGGTCTTTACAAAAATATTTTGTAATATGTAAAATGGGCTTCTTCAGAAAATTTTCTTTGGTGGAATCTGTGTTTAGTTTCCTTTCCTCAATGACATAAAAAAAGAGAATATTATTATTTTCACTCCCTAGACTGGTTAAACTGGGTTACGTTATTACAATATCTTATGATGCAGAATATTACAAATATTTGATATCATACTCAAATATAGTTTTGCTGTATTATGTCTTATTTGTTTAAGGCTAAGTTTCTGTTCTCTGAAAATCCAGCACAGGTAAAGAAACAGAAACTCTGGAATGTTTTGAAGTGACTCTTAATATTCAAAATCAACATCAGTGAAGTAAACCATTTACCATTGGAACTAATGGAGGGAAAACAATTAACTAACAGACTTTACATCAAATTAATAATCAATCGTCCTCATGCTCCAGGGTTACCTGTGGAGTAACACATGGACCAAGCAGTTTGTAATCCTCATAACTCCGTTTAGAAGTTTAGAGAGAGAGGACTTCTGGCGTTGAGGTCCCTGAAGGTCAGTGGCTGATTCAAATGAACCATTCCTTCTTTGAGACGGTGAGAAAAATCTTCTTTCATTACAGTTTAATGTAATCTCTTTTTTTTATAAGAAAAAAAAAAACTTTCAAAAAACTGCTCAATAAATTTAAAGATTATTTGAGAAAAAAAATAGGGGAAATATAAGTAAATTTCACTCCATAATTTGGGCAAGAAAAAACGAAATAAAATTTGAAATAACAAGGTTGATTATTTCAACTGTGTTAGAAAAAATTGTAACTAAATGACTTCAATTAAATTGAATTAATAAAGAGCAAATACTGAACAGATAAGAGAGAAAAAAAGCCATTACTGATAACTATTTCAGTTGGGGAGAGGAATGGCAATGTGTGTTTTTACACCCGAGTATAAAAAAGACCCTTGACAAAGGTTAAATAAGAGAGCTCTCCAAATGCATTCAGCGAAAAGGCTGTAGGTATTGCCATTAGACACTAGATTTGCTTAGATGTTTGTAATGACTTGACTAAGCTGACCTGCTATTTCTGTGTCAGAGCTGAAATTTGATAGAATGCTTCCAACACATCCTCAGTTTAACCCAGAGGCCTATAAGGCGATGCTTGAAATCACCATTTGTATAATATATATAATCAAAAGTTATCTTTAATAGTAGACTCAGGAGCAACAACTTCTGTTCTTAGGGCAGTTGAGTTCTCTGTTCCTCTAAAGCTTAGTGGAAACTATGTTTTTTTCAATTTCTGCCTCTGGACAAACGATAAAAGGGCATTTTATAACAACTATTGCATGCATCTCACCTGAGGGGTGCTTTTTTAAACATAGTTTTTTTGCTGTCCGGGCAGTGCAAAAAAAATAACCCTTCTTGGGACAGACTTAATGTGTGTTTTAGAGATAGGGTTAACTTCTTCCCCTGAAGGGCTGAAAGTCTCTAAGCGGCCTGAACAGAGGAAAAGCTGCACAGAGTATAAATGCTGCAGACATTGTGAAGGACAGCTCATTTTCATCAGGAATGTCCGTGTATCAAGCATAATGAGCCCTTAACTTTGGATCTCAGAGAAGCAGAATGCCACACCATGAGAGCAATGTTACAGGGGTGTTCTGGTCAAGATTTAAGAGGCAATAGTACTGTTTTTTGTTGTTGTTTATTTCTTATTAAGAGGGATGGATTGCTTTCCAGGATATGTTTTTTTTTAGATTAGAAATTTGTTAGAATGGTCCAAGGGCTTCCTTTGCTGCACTTCATTCCTGTAGGTGGCAGTGTTGCATATTATATTTCAGTATCTGCCACCATAACGACAAGAGAAGAAGGTGCACCTTTCAACATGTCAACATGCTTCAACCATTATAATATCATTAGTGACTTTTAACAGTGCTGTTTCAGTGCTATGATGAGCTCTAAAACCTGACTGAAAGTCTTCAAAAAGTTTATTAATGTGTAAGTGGTCACACACCTTTGATATTAAAGGAAAATTAGATATAGGTCTATAATTTAACAAATCATCTGGGTCATTCTTAAGTAAATGGTTAAAGGAAAAGTCCGGTCACAATAAGGATACAAACTTCTGAAAGTACTTTATGAATGAAATTATTATATACTTTCCAATAAATGATAAGCATTTTAAATTACCGTAAGAGTAATTTTATTTGAATGTGCTTTACTGGAGTCATGCATGTTTGTCAAAGAACACTACTGCCACCTACCGGTTTGTGACGTCATGGTGCGAAATTGGCTGTTGAATCCCACTGCTGGCCCGGTGTTTGTCACAACACACTATTATCCATGATGGCGACGACCAGTGCTCTATGCGAAGCAGAGAGTAACGGATGAATGGCTTGTTTTTTCATTGTGGTGGATCATGAATCGAAAAGGTGTAATAACCAATATTTTTTTTTTCACTTTTACCTGATGTATTGCAACATCCAACTGCCATGCACATGAGCACTGTCAGTTTAACTATAGCTCGCACGAATTTCAATAGTGAAGGCCCTAGAATGAAACGACAGGCTTTTTTCCTTTTATGGTTTGGTCATGTATATTTAGATGAGCTGTGCGCTGATTGAACGCTGATGTCTGAGAAAAAGAGGACTTCTGGCCACCCTACCAGACGTCCTCTTTCTTTCTTTTTTATGGTGGGCTTTAGGCTGCCCTGCAAGGATTTTTAACCAGGGTTTTAATTGGCGGCAAAGCCTTTTTAAAGCACATATCAAGGTGCTCATTCATGAGCCTGGATCGATATTTGTTTTTTTTTAATATATAATCATGATGGAGAATCCTTCACAGAAGTAGATTGAGCCAAACATACTCAAAATGTGCATGGTCATTTTTGAACATTTCACTTTTCTGTCACACGTTCACCCCAGTTATGGCAGCAGTCCACACTTTCTTTCACTTTTCTCATCGTCTCTTCTTTCCCATCGCCCTGCTTGCCAAAGGTTTGCCTGCTGTGCCTAAAAGTTGCTAGCAGCAGCAACCCAGACTGACACAGCTCATTGGACCACTGCCTAATTTGTGTAGCCTGGCCACGGACGCTCTGGAGGGCTTTAACATACAAACAGGAGAAGCGCCGCAAGTGAAATTAGACACTTCAGTCGAACAACATGCAGTAACTTATAAATGTTTTAAATCAGGGTGGGTCTGGATTAGCCAGCAGGTGGGTCCGCTTATCCGTGACATCTGCTTTATAATCTGGATGGGGGAATCTAAATGTAAACCCCTTTTTTGTCCCACAATGGGAAAATACACTCTCTGCATTTGACACATCCACTACCCCCCATGCATGGGGAGCAGTGCCTGCCTTTGTATGGCACCCAGGGAGCAGTGTGGGGTTAAGGGTCTTGCTCAGGAACCCAGAGTGCAGGCTGTGGGGATCGAATCGGGTACTTGCAACCTTCTCAGAGCACAAGTGCACTGCTCTGACCACTAGGCCAGTCGGCCTCGGCAGATGGCCGCTCACACTGAGCCTGGTTCTGCTGGAGGTTTCTTCCTGTTAAAAGGATGCTACAAGCATGCTACAAGCATGCTTAGTGTGAGGGATTGTATTTGAGTCAATGAGTCAATGCAATCAACTGGTTTTCCTTAGATAGAAAAGTTTGTATCAAATTGACTGTATGATCTGGTTGAACTGTAAAGTGCCTTGAGATGACATGTGTTGTGAATTTGGCGCTATATAAATAAACTGAATTGAATTTAATTGAATAGGTCAGGGGTCAGCAACCCGCAGCTCATAGTCTGCAACATACATTTCAGTACAGCGTGGTGCCAGGCAAACAAAGCAGCGGTTGTGTCTCAGGCCATGGATCCCAAAGGGAAAAAGAGGAAGATGCCTGATGAGAACAGAGGATTCAAAGAAGGATGGACTGAATCATTTGCTTTCATTATTATCAATGGGCACATTGTCTGCATTTTTGCTTTGTAATAACAGGTTGTCAAAAAATAAAGAGTAATTAGGAAAGGCATTTCCAGTGAATGCATGCTACATATGCAGCCAATCACAAAGTTGGGAGTCAAAGAAAAACGTCGATTGAAGAACTTCTGGATAAATTACAGCAGAGCAAAGAGAAAGTTAAGAAGTGGATTGCATCTCCAAAATTCACTACTGCTGCAAGTTTTGTTGCAATCATGGAAAACCGTCCAGAGATCAAACAGGTAGTTCTCTTATGCAGGTATGTGAAGTTTGTTAAATTTTTTTCCCCAAATCCAAAAAAATAAAATGATGAAAACGATGTGAGATTTCGGGGTTAGAGAGCACTGCTCTGATGGATGTCAGTTCCTGCTTGATTCCTCATGACTCAATCAACTCCTCCCAACAAAAATATGTCCACCATAGAAAGATTCCTTTATTGTGTTTCTATAATTCCATTAATGCAACAAAAGCTAAATCATGCGGTGAAGGGCGGTGAAGCGGCGCGCAGTGTAGTGGCGCACGGTGAATTCCACATGGTGTGAGCATTCACTGCTCCTCCCTCACCTCATGCTACTATGTGAAATTTGCTCCAGGATAAACATTTAGTTATGAATGCGTATTGTATATTTGAGGCCCCAAAGTCCTTTTTTATGGCGGGCTAATACACTTAGACTTTTACATTTTTGCGGCTCCAGACAGATTTGTTTTTTGCTCCAATATGCCAATATGGCTCTTTGAGCAGTTTGCACTAGGCCAACACTCCACTCCTGTTCAAAATAATTGTAATTATTAACTTGCTTTAGACTAATCACTAAACCAGACTGAAAGATTGTTCCACACCCTCCTCCTCACCCAGACCCTCTTGGCATATGGAAATTTAAATAGCTGGAGTAAGTTGCGTCATTAATGCTCAAATAATCCTCCTGTTGCAGAGAGGTTTCTGTAAAACAACATATGTAAAATAGATTATTACAGATCAAGTGATTAACTTAGATTATCTTATGTTAAATAAACCACTTTTATTTCTTTCAACATTTCTCTAAATTGTTTTTATTTTAATCTCAATTAGAGATTGTAATGACTTACTCCTGTTTTTTTTTTTTTTTTATAATTTCACTTTGGCAATGGGAAAGACACTGCCTGGACAGGGTAATGGGTGCGTACAAGTACAAGTCTATTGTACTGTAAGCATAAGAATATTCAGGTGTATTTTCAAGTGTATTTTTATTTCTTTTACTTCTGAAATAAAAGTTGATACACAATTTTAATCCAACAAACAGGAACAGTTGTTCTTTATTTGTCTGCTTTGCTTTTAAACTTAAAACACCAGGTATTATATTCATTGTTTGTGACCGAAACAGCAATTAGGATTCCTTTTTCTAATTCCAATAATCTCTTCAATAGTGTCCTGCAGGCACTATTGTCCTGGATAAAGAAAGCTTGTTCCATTGCTTGTATGGGTGCTCATGATACACTGGATTGTCCATGTTTCAAAGCCACTCACCTTACATAAAGTACACTGAAAGAAAAGGTATTTGGATGTATGTAAAAAAAAAAATGTCTTGCAGACATATTTCATATAGAGTACACTCACCGGCCACTTTATTAGGTACACCTGTCCAACTGCTCGTTAACACTTAA